CAACCTTGTAGCAAAAGGAACCTAATAGCGATGGCCTCCACCCTAGTCGCGATGGCCTCCAACCCTGTAGCAAAAGGAACCTAATAGTGATGGCCTCCACCCTAGTAGCGATGGCCTCCAACCTTGTAGCAAGAGGAACCTGAGAGCGATGGCTTCCACCCTAGTAGTGATGGCCTCCAACCTTGTAGCAAAAGGAACCGAATAGCGACGGCCTCCACCCTAGTAGCGATGGCCTCCAACAAAATAGCAAAAAGAACCTAATGGCGGTGGCCTCCACCCAATTAGCGATGGCCTCCAACCTTCTAGCAAAAGGAACCTAATAGCGAGGGCCGCCACCCTAGTAGTGACCTATTCCTGATGGCCTCCACCCTAGTAGCGACGGCTTCCAACCTTGTAGCAAAAGAAACCTAATAGCGATGGCCTCCACCCTAGTAGCGATGGCCTCCAACCTTGTAGAATAAACGGACCGGACAACCCCACATGTTAAGCTTGCAAGAACTATCAACGAGAAGTAGAGACTGATAAGAAACGAGGACGGAAAGATACTGGATGATAGAAGTGAATGAGATGAGTGGCGTGCGACGAGTGGTGTGTGATGAGTGGTGTGTGATGAGTGGTGTGTGATGAGTGGTGTGTGATGAGTGGTGTGTGATGAGTTGTGTGTGATGAGTGATGTGAGATGAGTGGTGTGAGATGAGTGGTGTGTGATGAGTGGTGTAAGATGAGTGGTGTGTGATGAGTGGTGTGTGATGAGTGGTGTAAGATGAGTGGTGTGTAATGAGTGCTGTAAGATGAGTGGCGCGTGATGAGTGGTGTGTGAGGAGTGGTGTGTGATGAGTGAAGTGAGATGAGTGGTGTGTGATGAGTGGTGTGTGATGAGTGAAGCGTGATGAGTGGTGTGTGATGAGTGGTGTGTGATGAGTGGTGTAAGATCAGTGGTGTGGGATGAGTGGTGTGTGATGAGTGGAGTGTGATGAGTGGTGTGAGATGAGTGGTGTGTGATGAGTGGTGTCAGATGAGTGGTGTGTGATGAGTGGTGTGTGATGAGTGGTGTGTGATGAGTGGTGTGCGATGAGTGGTGTGTGACGAGCGGTGTAAGTTGAGTGGTGTAAGATGAGTGGTGCGTGATGAGTGGTGTGTGATGAGTGGTGTATAATGAGTGGTGTGTGATGAGTGGCGTGTGATGAGTGGTGTGCGATGAGTGGCGTGTGATGAGCGGTGTAAGATGCGTGGTGTGTGATGAGTGGTGTGTGAGATGAGTAGTGTAAGGTGTGAGTTGAGTGGTGTACGATGAGTAGTGTAAGATGGGTGGTGTGAGATAGGTGGTGTAAGATACTTGGTGTGAGTTGAGTGGTGTAAGATGAGTGGTGTAAGATGGGTGGTGTGAGATAGGTGGTGTAAGATCGGTGGTGCGAGTAGATGAGTGGTGTAAGATGGATGGTGGTGTGTGATGAGTGGTGGCAGCCGATCCAGGAGGCTCTGTGCACTGCGCCTACCACGAAGCCTGCCGCGAAATCTGCACTCAGCCACGCGCGCCCCAGCTGACCCAGGAGGCTCTGTGTACTGCGATGAAATCTGCGGCCCAGCGGCGCCCACGCGCGCCGCAGCTGATCCAGGAGATTCTGTGTACTGCACCTGCCACGGAATCTGCACTCCAGGTTCACCGAGCGCTGCGCCTGCCACGAAATCTGCACTCAGCCAAGCGCGGCCCAGCGGCGCCCACCCGCGCCGCAGCTCATCCAGAAGGCTCTGTGTACTGCGCCTGCCACGAAATCTGGCAGGTGGTGTGAGTTGAGCGGTGTAAGATGACTGGTGTAAGATGGGCGGTGTGACCTGCCACGAAATCTGCACTCCAGGTTCACCAAGTGCTGCGCCTGCCACGAAATCTGCACTCAGCCACCCGCGGCCAGCGGCGCCCGCCGCAGCTCATCCAGAAGGCTCTGTGTACTGCGCCTGCCACGAAATCTGGCAGGCGGTGTGAGTTGAGTGGTGTAAGATGACTGGTGTAAGATGGGTGGTGTGAGATATATGGTGTAAGATGGCAGAGTTGTTGAGTGGTGTAAGATGACTGGTGTAAGATGGGCTGTGTGAGATAGATGGTGTAAGATGGGTGGTGTGAGTTGTTGAGTGGTGTAAGATGAGTGGTGTAAGATGGGTGGTGTGAGATAGGTGATGTAAGACAGGTGGTGTAAGATACGTGGTGTGAGTCGAGTGGTGTAAGAGGAGAAGTGTAAGATGGGTGGTGTGAGATAGGTGGTGTGAGATGGGTGGTGTAAGACAGGAGGTGTGAGATGAATGGTGAATTGAGTGGTGTAAGATCAGTAAGATGGGGGTGTGAGTTGAGTAGTGTAAGATGAGTAGTGTAAGATGTGCGGTGTGAGATAGGTGGTGTAAGTTGGGTGGTGTCAGACGAGTGGTGTGAGTTGAGTGGTGTAAGATGAGTGATGTAAGATGACTGGTGTAAGATGAGTGGTGTGAGATATGTGGTGTAAGATAGGTGGTGTGAGCTGAGTGGTGTAAGATGAGTGGTGTAAGACGATGGGTGTAAGATAGGTGGTTTGAGTTGAGTGGTGTAAGTTGAGTGGTGTAAGATGAGTGGTGTAAGA